TTGTGAAGAAAATGTTGGAATTTACTGACTACATTTGTAAGGTTGGTCTCACTGACTTCCTCAAACAGGACAAGAGAGGTGGTTCTATGCACATACAACTTTTTTATTACAATGAATGCGATGTTTCGGTGTAGACACTCATACAATTAACAAGCAAGTGATGTACAGAAATGTGAAGTAGGAAGGTTATGCTCATGTGGCAACTGGATGTTTACATAAGGTCAAATGATGCTGTTGATGGCTTCACAACAGATAATACTGACGTTTAAACATTTAGAAATACTCAGATCATTGTAACACCTTTTAAATTAGCTTGTTTGTTATCGTTATCGCGACCAAAACCAAATGAAAACACAATAAATCTACTGGACTGAAATGGGTTCACTCTTTGAACACAAGTGTAACTAATGGAATATTTATCTTTGGTGCTGTTTATCATGATACTTTCTCGCACTTTCGTGCTGATAAGTGTAACTAGAGAATTTAGAAATGTGGAATACTTGTGCACATTTGAAAATATACTTACAGATAGGTATAGATCAAGTAAGTTACTCGTATACTTACTTACCTGATCTAACTGCATCAAAGCTTTATAGTCTTCATGGTACATGTCATATAGCCCTTTTCCAGTGACGAAAAACATATGATATATCTACAGTCATAATATTCACACTTTAGCCATAAAATCTATATCAGTACTTATATATAGGGGTTAAAGAAATGAAGCAAAATAGCAAATATACACTGGTCATTTTGTACGCATATTCTAAATATAAGCAGGTCATTTCTTAATGCTGTAGTGTATGAGAAATGTGGCAGGCCTTTATGACACACATAAAATGTATAATCGAGTGGCTGAAATCGATATGCAGATGAAGCTACAAGAACTTTTAAAATAATTACTGATCTTTATCAGTGTTAAGGCAAACATGTGACTTGTGTGAGTGTATGTATAGTTGCACCACCTGTAGGTTAGTTTGCCTTGAAACAAAATAAAGATTGGTTCTTTGATTAATCATGTGGAGTGGAGTCTTTCGTTAAACATGAATAAATATCAGCTAGTTGTTTCAGAATGGCTGATAGTTTATGAAATAGAGAAAGTATGCCAGCTAATCTTTAAACTGCAAATGGTTGTTTGCAAATAAATAGCTTCGATGTCTACCTGACATACCACGGGGTATTGATAACAACACAGTTTTTACACAAGGGGACTCTGACGTGACACACCTAACAAGTAATACATTCAACCACATGAGAGCAATGGTAACTGGTATAAAAAAGTGTACAGTTGGGTAAAAGAATATTATGGTAAGTGATTTATAACTGAAACATTCTAGAATGTAAAAAAGCACTGAAACAGGATATAAAAGAAGAGTTAATAAATAATAAATTGAGGTAAATTCTTGATGCAGAAGCTACTAATTAGAAATACTAAGCTTCTAATTTAAAATACAGAAGATAATAAATCACCGGGGCGTACAATTTGAGGTTGACGTATCGGAATAAAACCGATGAAACGTTAATGACGTAATGCCGGTTGGAATAAGTGATTTTGATGCCCCGTTTGTTCTGAAAAGGGGAGTTTGGAAACGGCGTCCGGAAGGTAGAATTTTATATTCGTTGTGAAGAAAATGTTCTGAGCCTGATGCAATTTTGTAAGCTAGTTTTGAACATGGCGTGTGCCTTAAACACTCTTTTCCAAAGACACTCCTGATAATTTGCAGGCTTGATTGATGATTGTGCGCAGATTGTTTTCATTTTTTAGTTAAATTTTACCCAAACCAGCTTTGTATGTTAAAACAAAGAATGCCTTGAATAAACGTTTTGTACTATAAAACAAGTGTGACATTAAAGAGTTGAGTTTCCGTAAAAAGTACGACTTTGTTGACATTTGTTGTATATTCTGTCGGCGTTCGCAGTATAACTGAGCTTTTCATCAATGATGGTGCCGAAATATTTGTACTCTGGGACAACTTCGATGCTGCAATTATCAGTCAGAACAGGTCAATACGTAGGTTTCTTCATTCAAAAGTCTATAGTATTTTCTTTTCTTTTCTACATATTAAGACCTAGGAAGATCCTAATCCAGCTAATGGGACATCATCAGCAAATTTCACAGTTGTTTCACATCACTTCTGCAGTCATTAGTATATAAAGTAAATAGTATTGGAGAAAGCACATTTCCTTGTGGAGCACCTGTGTTTAGGATACGTGTTTTAGAGTGTGTCGAATTGACTCGCACATATTGTAGACAGTAAACTCTGGCTTCACCAAGTAGGACTGTGCTATGTTATTGAGAACAATTCTCTGCTTTCCACCATCATTAAAACAAGCGTTGGAATTTACTGACTACATTTGTAAGGTTGGTCTCACTGACTTCCTCAAACAGGACAAGAGAGGTGGTTCTATGCACATACAACTTTTTTATTACAATGAATGCGATGTTTCGGTGTAGACACTCATACAATTAACAAGCAAGTGATGTACAGAAATGTGAAGTAGGAAGGTTATGCTCATGTGGCTACTGGATGTTTACATAAGGTCAAATGATGCTGTTGATGGCTTCACAACAGATAATACTGACGTTTAAACATTTAGAAAAACTCAGATCATTGTAACACCTTTTAAATTAGCTTGTTTGTTATCGTTATCGCGACCAAAACCAAATGAGAACACAATAAATCTACTGGACTGAAATGGGTTCACTCTTTGATCACAAGTGTAACTAATGGAATATTTATCTTTGGTGCTATTTATCATGATACTTTCTCGCACTTTCGTGCTGATTAGATAATATTGGTTGGAGATACATCCGTGACATTATAGAAACATTAATCAACCCTGGTTGATATATTAAATAGCTCATGGTACGATATCTCAGTGTACCTAGAGAATTTACAAATGTGGAATACTTGTGCACATTTGAAAATACTTACAGATAGGTATAGATCAAGTAAGTTACTCGTATACTTACTTACCTGATCTAAATGCATCAAAGCTTATAGTCTTCATGGTACATGTCACATAGCCCTTTTCCAGTAACGAAAAACATATGATATATCTACAGGTATAATATTCACACTTTAGGCATAAAAGCTGTATCAGTGCGTGTATATATGGGTTAAAGAAATGAAGCAAAATAGCAAATATACACTGGTCATGTTGTACGCATATTCTAAATATAAGCAGGTCATTCCTTAATGCTGTAGTGTATGGGAAATGTGGCAGGCCTTTATGACACACATACAATGTATTATCGAGTGGCTGAAATCGATATGCAGATGAAGCTACAAGAACTTTTAAAATAATTACTGATCTTTATCAGTGTTAAGGCATACATGTGACTTGTGTGAGTGTATGTATAGTTGCACCACCTGTAGGTTAGTTTGCCTTGAAACAAAATTATGATTGGTTCTTTGATTAATCATGTGAAGTGGAGTCTTTCGTTAAACATGAATAAATATCAGCTAGTTGTTTCAGAATGGCTGATATTCTATGAAATAGAGAAAGTATGCCAGCTAATCTTTAAACTGCAAATGGTTGTTTGCAAATAAATAGCTTCGATGTCTACCTGACATAACACGGGGTATTGAAATTGGGTTCTTGAACGTAGCGAACCCTGTGAACGAGTCTAAACTAAGCATATCAAGAGGTTTCTATGTGTCATTTTAAACTATTTAAAGAATTGCTGACATCGTAGCAGGTAATCCTCAAACGTTTAATTTAGACCTTATCTTTCGACATGTAACTTGTACTCACGGTATTTCTCACAGTGTTCGACTGTCACTATAGATTGATGCTAATGTGTAAAACGCTTTACAATATCAAAGGAAAATTGAAATGACACACATGAAGTTGGCTGTTCTCTGAAATTGATTATAAAATTACAGGTTTATTGTTGTGTGTCACAGTTTGTCCGACCGTTACTAACTCGGGTGATAAGTACCACATTCAAACACATTGTTCTGCGACCTGAGATCTGATTACAAGCATGCATGTGGAGGTTAAGTCAGCATGCATGGCCACGGGGAAAATCTGATTAGGACCTTTCCCCTTCGCGACACGTGCAAAACACAAAGAGAGTGAGATGCATGAGCTATTCACTCTGAGATGTTAAAACACCATGTAGTGTAAACATTATAAAACAACTTTGAGCCTCTTCACATAGCCGGACTGCTGAATTACCAATGTAATAAAAACATTGTAAATAAAGAGTCATCACTATGAAAATAACATTCTTTTTGTACAAGACAATTTGCAAATAAGAAAAAGAAACGAAAATATTTACGACCGGCAATGTGGCTCTTTGATCTTTGTCAGGCATCACTGCTGCATTGTCTTAAAGAAAGGAGGTCTTTAGCTGTGTGGCCTTGTATATTTTTGTCTTTTACGGACACCAGATTGCATGTGTGAACATGTTGCGCCATGTCCTTATGTCCTCCAATACAGGCCATTAGAAGGATGTTGGTTCTGTTATCATCCACTAGTCAAACACTTCACTCTGTCCCATCTCTCCTGTCTTCATCACGGTTGTGCTCCCGTACTAACCCCTACTGTTGATGTCTGTCATCTTTTGTGAGAGTACATACTTCACAATGTCTTCATGTCCTCCGAGACGTCTATATGGAGGATGTTGTCTCTGTTATCATCTAACAACTCGTTCTTTTAAAAATGTCAGTGAAACTACAATACTTAACACCAGCAATGTCTCTATTTCTTCTGTATCAGGCCTCACTGCTGTAATGTCTTGAAGAAAGGAGGTCTTCAGATGTTTGGCCATGCACATTTTTCGCGTTGAAATCAACTAAATGTAGTGTGCAAACATGTTCCACCATGTCCACATGTCCTCCAATACAGGCCACATGAAGGATGTTGTCTCTGTCATCATCCACTAATGATACATCAGCTCCTTCACTCACAAGTACGTCAAACACTTCTCTGTGTCCCATATTTGCTGCCTTCATCACGGGTGTCCTCCCGTACTGACACTGACTGTTGATGTCTGCAACCTTCTGTGAGAGGACATACTTCACCATGTCCACATGTCCTCCAATACAGGCCACATGAAGGATGTTGTTTCTGTTATCATCCACTAATGATACATCAGCTCCTTCTTTCACAAGTACGTCAAAAACTTCTCTGTGTCCCATCTCTGCTGCTACCATCACGGGCGTCCTCCCGCACGGTCCCTGACTGTTGATGTCTGCAACCTTCTGTGAGAGGACATACTTCACCATATCCACATGCCCTCCAATACAGGCCACATGTAGGAGGTAGTCTCTGTCATCATCCACTAATGATACATCAGCTCCTTCTTTCACAAGTAAGTCAAAGACTTCTCTGTGCCCCCTCTTTGCAGCCACCATCACGGGTGTCCTCCCGTACTGACCCCTACTGTTGATGTTTGCAACCTTCTGTGAGAGGACATACTTCACCATGTCCACATGTCCTCCAATACAGGCCACATGAAGGATGTTGTCTCTGTCATCATCCACTAATGATACATCAGCTCCTTCACTCACAAGTACGTCAAACACTTCTCTGTGTCCCATATTTGCTGCCTTCATAACGGGTGTCCTCCCGTACTGACACTGACTGTTGATGTCTGCAACCTTCAGTGAGAGGACATACTTCACCATGTCAACATGCCCTCCAATACAGGCCACATGAAGGATGTTGTTTCTGTTATCATCCACTAATGATACATCAGCTCCTTCACTCACAAGTACGTCAAAAACTTTTCTGTGTCCAATCTCGGCTGCTACCATCACGGGTGTCCTCCCGTATGGTCCCTGACTGTTGATGTCTGCAAACTTCTGTGAGAGGACATACTTCACCATGTACTCATGTCCTCCAATACAGGTCACATGAAGGATGTTGTTTCTGTTATCATCCACTAATGATACATCAGCCCCTTCTCTCACAAGTACGTCAAACACTTCTCTGTGTCCCGTATTTGCTGCCATCATCACGGGCGTCCTCCCGTACTCACCCCTACTGTTGATGTCTGCAACCTTCTGTGAGAGGACATACTTCACCATGTCCACATGCCCTCCAATACAGGCCACATGAAGGATGTTGTTTCTGTTATCATCCACTAATGATACATCAGCTCCTTCACTCACAAGTACGTCAAAAACTTTTCTGTGTCCAATCTCGGCTGCTACCATCACGGGTGTCCTCCCGTATGGTCCCTGACTGTTGATGTCTGCAACCTTCTGGGAGAGGACATTCTTCACCATGTACTCATGTCCTCCAATACAGGTCAGATGAAGGATGTTGTTTCTGTTATCATCCACTAATGATACATCAGCCCCTTCTCTCACAAGTACGTCAAACACTTCTCTGTGTCCCGTATTTGCTGCCATCATCACGGGCGTCCTCCCGTACTGACCCTGACTGTTGATGTCTGCAACCTTCTGGGAGAGGACATACTTCACCATGTCCACATGTCCTCCAATACAGGCCACATGAAGGATGTTGTTTCTGTTATCATCCACGAATGATACATCAGCTCCTTCTTTCACAAGTACGTCAAAAACTTCTCTGTGTCCCATCTCTGCTACTACCATCACGGGTGTCCCCCCGTACTGACCCTGACTGTTGATGTCTGCAACGTTCTGTGAGAGGACATACTTCACCATATCCACATGCCCTCCAATACAGGCCACATGAAGGATGTTGTCTCTGTTATCATCCACTAATGATACATTAGCTCCTTCTCTCACAAGTAAGTCAAAAACGTCTATGTGCCCCCTCTTTGCAGCCACCATCACGGGTGTCCCCCCGTACTGACCGTGACTGTTGATGTCTGCAACCTTCTGTGAGAGGACATACTTCACCATGTCCACATGTCCTTCAATACAGGCCACATGAAGGATGTTGTTTCTGTTATCATCCACTAATGATACATCAGCTCCTTCTTTCACAAGTAAGTCAAACACTTCTCTGTGTCCCATTTCTGCTGCCTTCATCACGGGTGTCCTCCCGTACTGACCCCTACTGTTGATGTCTGCAACCTTCTGGGAGAGGACATACTTCACCATGTCAACATGTCCGAGAATACAGGCCACATGAAGGATGTTGTTTATGTCATCATCCACTAAAGATACATCAGCTCCTTCTCTCACAAGTAAGTCAAACACTTCTCTGTGTCCCATTTCTGCTGCCAGCATCACGGGTGTCCTCCCGTACTGACCCCTACTGTTGATGTCTGCTACCTTCTGGGAGAGGACATACTTCACTATGTCAACATGTCCACCAATACAGGCAACATGAAGGATGTTGATTCCGTTATCATTCACTAATGATACATCAGCTCCTTCTCTCACAAGTGAGTCAAATACCGCTCGGTATCCCTTCTCTGCTGCCAGCATCACGGGTGTCCTCCCGTACTGCCCCCTACTGTTGATGTCTGCAACCTTCTGTGAGAGGACATACTTTACCATGTCAACATGTCCGAGAATACAGGCCACATGAAGGATGTTGTTTCTGTTAACATCCACTAATGATACATCAGCTCCTTCTCTCACAAATAACTCAAACACTTCTGTGTTTCTCCTTTCTGCTGCCATCATCACGGGTGTCCTCCCGTACTGACCCCTACTGTTGATGTCTGCAACCTTCTGGGAGAGGACATACTTCACTATGTCAACATGTCCACCAATACAGGCCACATGAAGAATGTTGATTCTGTTATCATTCACTAATGATACATCAGCTCCTTCTCTCACAAGTGAGTCAAATACCGCTCGGTATCCCTTCTCTGCTGCCAGCATCACGGGTGTCCTCCCGTACTGACCCCTACTGTTGACGTCTGCTACCTTCTGGGAGAGGACATACTTCACCATGTCAACATGTCCTCCAATACAGGCCACATGAAGGATGTTGTTTCTGTCATCATCCACTAAAGATACATCAGCTCCTTCTCTCACAAGTAAGTCAAACACTTCTCTGTGTCCCATTTCTGCTGCCAGCATCACGGGTGTCCTCCCGTACTGACCCCTACTGTTGATGTCTGCAACCTTCTGTGAGAGGACATACTTTACCATGTCAACATGTCCGAGAATGCAGGCCAGATGAAGGATGTTGTTTCTGTTAACATCCACTAATGATACATCAGCTCCTTCTCTCACAAATAACTCAAACACTTCTGTGTTTCTCCTTTCTGCTGCCATCATCACGGGTGTCCTCCCGTACTGACCCCTACTGTTGATGTCTGCAACCTTCTGGGAGAGGACATACTTCACTATGTCAACATGTCCACCAATACAGGCAACATGAAGGATGTTGATTCTGTTATCATTCACTAATGATACATCAGCTCCTTCTCTCACAAGTGAGTCAAATACCGCTCGGTATCCCTTCTCTGCTGCCAGCATCACGGGTGTCCTCCCGTACTGACCCCTACTGTTGATGTCTGCTACTTTCTGGGAGAGGACATACTTCACCATGTCAACATGTCCTCCAATACAGGCCACATGAAGGATGTCGTTTCTGTTATCATCCACTAATGATACATCAGCTCCTTCTTTCACAAGTAAGTCAAACACTTCTCTGTGTCCCTTCTCTGCCGCCATCACCACGGGTGTCCTCCCGTACTGCCCCCTATTGTTGATGTTTGAAACCTTCTGTGAGAGGACATACTTCACCATGTCAACATGTCCTCCAATACAGGCAACATGAAGGATGTTGTTTCTGTAATCATCCTCTAATGATACATCAGCTCCTTCTCTCACAAGTAGCTCAAATACTTCTCTGTGTCCCCTCTTTGCTGCCTTCATCACGGGTGTCCTCCCGAACTGACCTCTACTGTTGATGTCTGCAACCTTCTGTGAGAGGACATACTTCACCATGTCAACATGTCCTCCAATACAGGCCTCATGAAGGATGTTGTTTCTGTTATCATTCAGTAACGATACATCAGCTCCTTCTCTCACAAGTAAGTCAAACACTTCTCTGTGTCCCATCTCTGCCGCCATCATCACTGGTGTCCTCTCGTACTGACCTCTACTGTTGATGTCTGGAACCTTCTGGGAGAGGACATACTTCACCATGTCAACATGTCCTCCAATACAGGCCTCATGAAGGATGTTGTTTCTGTTATCATTCAGTAACGATACATCAGCTCCTTCTCTCACAAGTAAGTCAAATACCGCTCTATGTCCCTTCTCTGCTGCCAGCATCACGGGGTTCCTCCCGTACTGACCCCTACTGTTGATGTCTGCAACCTTCAGTAGGAGGACATACTTCAACATGTCAACATGTCCTTCAATACAGGCCACATGAAGGATGTTGTCTCCATCATCATCCACTAATGATACATTAGCTCCTTCACTCACAAGTAACTCAAATACTTCTCTGTGTCCCCTCTTTGCTGCCTTCATCACGGGTGTCCTCCCGAACTGACCTCTACTGTTGATGTCTGCAACCTTCTGTGAGAGGACATACTTCACCATGTCAACATGTCCTCCAATACAGGCCTCATGAAGGATGTTGTTTCTGTTATCATTCAGTAACGATACATCAGCTCCTTCTCTCACAAGTAAGTCAAACACTTCTCTGTGTCCCATCTCTGCCGCCATCATCACTGGTGTCCTCCCGTACTGACCTCTACTGTTGATGTCTGGAACCTTCTGGGAGAGGACATACTTCACCATGTCAACATGTCCTCCAATACAGGCCTCATGAAGGATGTTGTTTCTGTTATCATTCAGTAACGATACATCAGCTCCTTCTCTCACAAGTAAGTCAAATACCGCTCTATGTCCCTTCTCTGCTGCCAGCATCACGGGGTTCCTCCCGTACTGACCCCTACTGTTGATGTCTGCAACCTTCAGTAGGAGGACATACTTCAACATGTCAACATGTCCTTCAATACAGGCCACATGAAGGATGTTGTCTCCATCATCATCCACTAATGATACATCAGCTCCTTCTCTCACAAGTAAGTCAAACACCGCACTGTGCCCCTTCTCTGCTGCCATCATCACGGGTGTCCTCCCGTACTGACCCCTACTGTTGATGTCTGCAACCTTCTGTGAGAGGACATACTTCACTACGTCCACATGTCCTTCAATACAGGCCACATGAAGGATGTTGTCTCCGTCATCATCCACTAATGATACATCAGCTCCTTCTCTCACAAGTGAGTCAAACACCGCACTGTGCCCCTTCTCTGCTGCCAGCATCACGGATGTCCTCCCGTACTGCCCCCTACTGTTGATGTCTGCAACCTTCTGTGAGAGGACATACTTCACCATATCCACATGTCCTCCAATACAGGCCTCATGAAGGATGTTGTTTTTGTTATCGGCAAGAAGACACAATGCAGAACCTTTACTCACAAGTATGTCTACCATTCTTCTGTGTCCGAATCGTGCTGTTATCATTGCAGGTGTTAGTCCGTCCTTCCCTCTACGGTTGACGTCTTCCAGATCCTTAGATAGGATGCGTCTAAGCCGGTCCAGGTCACCCTTCTTGCAGGCAGTATGGATGTCTGTATCCACTCTTGGGCCCATCTGTGTCACTATAACACAATGATTTCAATGTTGCAACCGGAAGAAAGAGTAAATACCTTAACAAATACTCATTTACATTAATTTACTTCAGTTGAACACATTCCCATCCTGTGTATGTGTTACAAGTGAAGGCCTTCTTTGACGATGGAACTGATATGCCTGGCATTCGAACTCCAACATTTGAGATCTTTAAGTGCCGATTATAGACACTATTCCAACTTCATTGACTAAACTGAAGACCTTATTTGTGTCTCTCGAGCACACATTACGTGTGGAGCTATTCGCTTTATAAGTCGGGTATAATTATTATGTTTTCAAATTACTCATAAGTTACAAAATTCCTTCCATACTGTCTACTCTCTACTGACACACATCGCGTAATACTATCACGAAGCAGTTGTAATCTCACTGTCCAGAATGTTCTCAGATTACATATACGAATCAACAATATATCCGTCACAACCAAGATGAATAAATTTACCACATAACCAGGGATGGGTATTGCGGAGAATGTTCATATTGCGTTATATTGCGATGCGGAAGCATGTATTGCGATATGTATTGCGATATGTATTGCGATATGTACTTATAATCGAGTTAATGCTTGATTATAAAGCAAAAACACAACAAAATCACTATGATTGATTAACTTTTTATAAAAAAATTTAATCATGACAAAATAAAAATGTAAGTAACATTTGGCACCAATGAAACAGGGAAAAGAGCAATTCAAAAAACGGAAATATCCGAAGATTTCCGAGTGTTACGAAGTTTTCCAAACGCATGTGAAAATACCGGTTTGGGCATTTGTCACCACTCGCCCCTTTCCTTAACCTGCAAGAAGACTCGTCCCCCTCTCGATGCTTGTTATGTGCGAAAATACGACAAACCAATCAGAACGCGCGTAAATGACTGCGGTGCTTTGGTAAAAATAATCCTTAGTACTTAAATCGTTTATGGCATTATGTCATTGTTTAAAAAATCATGAAAACTATATATCGTCATATTGAAAGTACAAAGAACTTAGCTAACAGGATTTTACTGCCTATTATGGTGTTTTTGATAAGAATCATGCGATTGATGGCGAGAGATTCAAATACACGCAGGTGCGTTTGTTGACATAACGGCTCTCATGGGTCCAACTGAGGGTGTTTCTGACGATCTTGCGGGCTTGCTATGGAGACTGTACGTGCGCTCCCGACAATTTTAGGAAATGTTATTATAAATCGCTACAAGTTTCAAAACAATAATATTATATCTGTATGTAACTAATCAACTTTAATCTTTAACATTGGGCATATATTTCAAGTCAATTAAAAGTCCACTTGTGGTTTGACAGCAAGGTTACAAGTATGTTCAGTTTGAGAAATATTATAAAAGTCATTTTTTGAGTTTCTGCTTAGGGATTTAATGTAGCGGGGTTTTTTTTACAAATTTTATTTGCATATTCTATAAAACAAATCCCATTTGTGATTATTAAACTCTTTTCAGAAATATAATTGGAAATATAAAGTGAATATCTGGTATACGTCAGAATCTGTCTTTAACAAATATGTGTTTTTTTCCCTTTCTTTTAGTTGTACCAAGGAGGTTTAATTCTTCAGAATAAATAGCAAAAACAAAAACAGCAATACAATGTATCAGTACTTCGGTGATATTAAGTAAGTATTGGAATCAAACAGGAATAGAGTTATCGTTCCTGTTTGAAGTAGTTCTGATGTTCCTACGCCAATATGAAATCCTTCCAGAGGGGGCACGAGTCGCTATTCGGCTTGTCCCGGAATAACACGAGTTGGTCACAAATGCGGTTTTCGATCAGCGTATCGCAATACGTATCGTTTTCATGTCTCAACAGGTAAATACCGGTAAACCGGTTATATTGCGCAGCCCTACACATAACCATACTACTGTTTCACACATTCACCTCATCAACGTCTAGATACAATCAAATCAAAATAACAGATCTCCCAGTGTCTCCCAGTCTCCCAGATCTCGTCAGTATTATACGCACCATGCGTTCACAATACCACCTGGTCAGTGCAGTTAACAAACTGACAGTGTAGATGTGTAAGGCAGGACATGTCTGCTCTTTGACACAAAAAACTGGTATCATTACTGGTTTTCAGTGATCCAGTGTTCACTTGTCACTGCCGTTTTACTTTTTATGCCCAGCTGAATGGTCAGATGATGGAGACTGAGATGATATGAATCCCTGTTTAAAATTTGATGACCACATTGAGTTCAACGATACAATTTTGGAAAATGTTTTCGATACACAACATCCTGTTTCATCATATTTCCTGAGACTTGAACAGTTTAAGTTTGAGTGCCAAACTGATTTTACAGCAGGTGAAGATTTTGTCTGGCCGGATCTGATCTGCTGGTCATCTGCTATCCATTTGTCCTTGAGATTAACTTCCCTCATCAACCTTTACAGTTGGCATGTTTTTCAGTATTTTTCTGCAGTGTGTGCATGTGCTGCCTTTTTTCGTAAACAGTCAGTGGCTCAGGTGACTGGTAGTGGGATATGGGATGCTGACGAAGGTGGGTGATGGGACTGGTTGAGTTTGGGTACGGGGCCCTTTTGCTTTATAGCAAGGGGTTGTCTTATGGTTTTCTCAACCAGATTTTGGTATATCCTAAAAAGACACCTAAATAAAGACTCTCCAAGAAACCCACATTGATAGTGCAATAGACGACACTGCAATCAACAACCTGAACCCCATAAACTCCCTAACCTCCCACCCCAACCCCACCCATGCCACTACGCCCACTCCCACCCTATGCCAGAGTCACTGTCAAATCCATAAAGATCCAGCCAAAGTCAGAATACAGGTATTTCTCAGGGGTTTAGGTTTCTGCAAAACAGCCCAGCACCTTGTCAGACTACAAGCACCATTGGGAAAATCCCACATCAGCGATTCCAGTATCTTTATATCCACATAGTTCACCCTAAGACAATTGTGGAGACAAATACATGTGATCCACAGCCAACACAATACAGGAACACAAGACCTCTGTTGCTCAATCTGCCCATTCGGAACATTTCATTTTAAGGGAAAAGCGAAAACATCAAGAAAGAATCGAAATCCAAAGAAAGAAGCCAGCCATTAGGCAGAGGCATCTACCTTCCCGGTGTGTACTCCACTGTGATCATATCATCTACCTTCCCAGTATGTACTCCATTGTGATCATATCATCAACCTTCCCAGTATGTACTCCACTGTGTTCATATCATCTACCTTCCCAGTATGTACTCCACTGTGATCATATCATCTACCACTGAGCGCTTATTGACTGGATTATTGCTTAACTGAACCCAATTCATATTAATCTGATTGTCTTCGTTATTACATTGTTATCCTTGTACATTAATCCTATCTCACTGGCTTCGTGAATGTACAGTATTTTTGTACATTAATCCTCTCCTATTGACTTTATCATACTATTGTTACCTGTACAGAGTTGTGTAAACATAAATCTCGACGCACTTACTCAGCATTCACCTGATGGAGGACAAAAACAGCTCTAGTCTTGACTTGTGATAAAGAATGAAAAACAAGTTATCATGTATTAACGGCATTTAAATGTTATACCTGGTGTAGGCAAACTCCGTGCAGCCTCAGGATTCAGCTCATCCCTACTGTTTCCCACACGCAGTAGTGCAATAGGACGGGCAACTTCTTCTGCAAAGCAAAGGATGAAATAGAAAAGCTCCCTATAAGGTGCAAGCATCTCAGTCATCCTTGCGCACATGCGTTCTCCGTACATACAATGGTAATATTCAAAATGATGATAAACAAAATTAATGCCTCTTTAATGGATCACGTTTCTCCCTCATATGAACTACAATGTCATGGTCCATATGCCTTTTCCCCTATATCTCTCAAAAGCTGTTGGAAATGCACAGGACTGCTCTTTGCTTGCACAGTAGGATCTGACTGACATACTGTGATGTCACTCCCAGAACACGAGTATATTACGTATGGCATATCCGTGTGTATAGCGGTATAGTAATGGCATAGCACATTGTATTTTTCCATTGATGGTCGTTTGTGGGCAAGTAGACTGGTTGTTAAAACTTTGTTCTGTCACGCTGCGGTCTCTTGTTCTATTTCCCAGGTGACTACAATGTTTGGAACCTGTCTGGGATTTGCCAGCCAGTATCTTACCTTGATGTAAAATACTTTAATTTCATTGGTCAGTGACCCTTTTAACAAGTTTCCGTGTCCCCCCTCCCAGGAGAGTGACAACTGGAAAAAGTATTACCCTCTGCCACGGTAACCGCCAAACTCTCCGCCGAGAAACTGTATTACTAACAATCGTATGACGTCATAATATGACATATGCAGTGCCCGGAGTTCGAAAACCGTTCCATAAGCTGTTTTTGAGTTCACTATGTACACATTTAATTTACCACATTTCACTGCATTATTTAAGCTATTTTATACATTGAATCTTTTGCACACTCAACTTAAAGGGCCACTGATGCAGAGCAATTTCCTTGGACTGGTTGTTGCTTTTGTTACTGCTTTTCTCCCGTGAATACCCGGATATATATCCCAGAATCAATGACTGGTTCGTTACCTCTGCTGCGCCACCACCATGCGCAATTGATAGAAAACGTATAGACTGATCAACAAAGATGAAATTTATTTTACTCGATAATCCTGATGCTGTTGTAAAATTATGTAATGAGATGCCATTCATCTGCAGCAGACAAAGAATCCTGTTCCATGTCATGTCTTTTAACGCTCAAATATGCGAAAAAGTGATCTATCATTTCAGGTTTTTCACACTGGTGTATCCGATTGGTCACCCAAGACAGCACACCTGACAAGTAATTGCATGATGTCCGCCATTAGTTAGAGAATATTGAGCTACCAATCAAGGTTTGGGCGGTTAATTCTTTGAAGGAAGGACGTTGTTTTTACAAAGTAACTTTACGACAGGGTGTATTCAGTATAGATTAGTGAATCTACATACATAAGCGCGACCTTTTGACAAATTCCCTGTGCAGGATAAAAGCAATTAATCAATCAGCGTGTTATCGTTAATCCTTTAATCGATGTTCGTTTTGAAACTCAGCTGATAATTCCTCTTGCTGCACTTCCATGCGCATATTACATAAGACGTAATACCTTTGCCACATCAGACCTAAATTTATAATGATGAGTATTTACTTCAGACACGAGAAATGCCAAATGGGAACCTTTTTCGGGTAATCTGAGTGGTGTTATCACTAATTATACCTCTTATAAATTCATTAACTGATCATCAAGTGAATGATGACACGACCGGATCGAACTTCAGTGTTACATAGGAAATATATATAAGCATTTGATGTGTACTTATTTAGAAACCTAAGTACAATGTCAGATTTTGCTAGCACTGGCAAAGTGGGGTTGTTGAGTTTATGGATTCAAATATATCAAATGTGTGTTTTTGATGTCATAGCATACGCAATAGACATCATACTTTTACATGATTAAATATCGAGGTAAAAAACACAGAAATAGGATCAAATTGGATCAGGCATTATACCATCCAAACATTTGAAAATCTGAAAATGCCTACACTGCTGGGATACTTTATTACAATCAAACAAGAACTACCGGGGATATTTTCAAATAACGGCATCTGATGGGCATCCGCCCTTCCTAATGTCCCACTGATTAGGTTGAGGAAATTCTGCCAAGGTGGACAGTAGCCAAGTCCCCGTGTCCGTCACGGTCGAGGGAGCAGGTGCTGACCAGTTTGCAGCTAGGTTTTGTAATTAGACTGTTGGTTGGAAACATTAATCGCTCTGCATCGGTGGCCCTTTAAACATAATTAACAGTTTTAAGCCTGTCAGGATATGTTTCAATGATCTTAAAAATCCGGTCTAGAGGCAGACGCCATTTTGTTTACATGTGATATAGTCGGAAGCAATCTTATCGTTCTTCAAATGTTTTTTAATAATATATATATTTTGTAAATTTAACACGGCGGTAGGGTAAATACGTTGTGTACGTTGTAAGGCGTACATCAGACCGTATTACCCTAAAGAGCAGCATACTATTTATTTTATATATCCTGAAAAGTTTCACATAGAGCAGTTAACTAACCTCACACAACCGCTTACCTCTCTGTTTTTGTTGTCCAAACGCGAAGAATCTCTTAAAACCTTCTTTCATGTTGACACCACGGTGAACTTCAGCCTTCTGACTTCTCCGGATAACTGAACTCCTGTTTGAAGATGCCAGACTGCTTCCCTCACTGAAAAACCCGCTGTCCTCAGTAGCAAAAGATATCCAGTCGAAGGACTCCAGCTCCTCTATTCTCTGTTGGGTGTTAACAGAGCAAAATAAGGAGTAAGTAGTATGTACGCTGTAGCCGTATCACGAATGGTGTACGGTGCGAGTACCCCCTGTGTTGACTTGTAGCTTACGTTATGTACATGCAACACAGAGGGTACTCAGACCGTTCACCCCGAGTGATGAGGCTACAATGAATTTATCTTATGTCATGGCTACATTTTCGTTTATCTGAACGTAGGCACTAAACCTAATGTAAACAGAATGTTGTATAAGAAATACAGTAAGACAGTTCCAATTCATGATATTGATTTAATTCAGCTACAACTCGTTGAAAGAACGCCACCATAAACACATTAACTATAGGTGATATATTTAATTGCAAAGGAAAATGGCTCTTCACGGGTGCCTTATCTTAACGTAGGCACTAAACCTAATGTAAACAGAATGTTGTATAAGAAATACAGTTAGAAAGTTCCAATTCAAGATATTGATTCAATTCAGTAGTAACTCGTTGAAAGAACGTCGACATAAACACATTAACTATAAGTGATTGCAATATCTAATTGCAAAGGAAAATCACAAAACCATGTCTCACAACGTTTGCACAGTATGACCGACGAAACACATGATCGAAAGACTGATGGAGCAAAAAGAAGCGGCAAACCCTTTCCACATCCATAAGACACATCTGTCGATTGTACAGCTGTACGATGTTGTTTGTAAACAAATGGAGTCCAAGCAATATAGTGATTGTGGTCATGCAATACGATGACAGAGAATGTGTTTATGACTCACTATGAAATAGTGATGATACCAGGTGTTCGCAAAAAGGTGAGCATATTCTGCCCCACCGGTGGCACCCGTCATACACAAATGCAAAGTTTAGTCAATTGTTCACCTAAAATAATTCGGGTCAAAGTCAATATAAATAACTCAAAATGGGGAATTGCACCGGACATCATTTTTGCCACAGATCAAATTTCGAAATGTCCTCCACATGTCAACCATAAAACATTTTCAAATCTTTACAGAGGTCTTGGATGTTGTAACGTTGATCGAACAATTTGTCTTATGACGCTCTTTGAAATCTTAGTGAAAGGAGCATGCTCGATTGTACCTCACAGGTTGTGAAAAGTATTCACAAAAGAAGAAAGCCAAAGGCTAGAGCTGTTGGAATATTGCTCGACATGAAAGGCTAGCCGACTATTGGCGAGTTGAAATAACTTTTGTCACACAGCCTTGTGGAGAGTTTTTATGCATGGAACTAAATATGAATCAGTCGGGGCGGTCACACTTTCCTCTTTAGTTTGAAGTTCGTGCGGGTAAATCAATGGAAGGCAAGTGGCTATTTGATGGTAATTGGACGATATTAAATCATCGATGTACCTGAAACTTCTAGGCCAATTTACCTTGTTTTGATTTTGCCAGCATATGCAGACATTCTGATTCATATGCCTAATGAAACACATCCGCAAAGGGCTGTAGCACTTTGGGTGACCATGGGGATGTCTACTTCATGTCAAAATACCCCTACATTTGACAAAGATTTTATCAATGCGAAAACCCTGCATTTCACATATTGTTTTCTCGGTAAACTACTACTGACATTTGCTTTAATTTTTGACACATTGTCCTGAGCCTCTGAAGATAGATATAATTTAAGATTATTGCGCTTGTATACAAAGATTTTCACGGTATTGGCCCATCGTACATCAACGATTTCATCCAGTGCCATCAACCATCCCGTTCCCTACGTTCTAGAAGTGCCCAGTTACTAGTTGTGCCACGTACGAGGACAAAGACATTTGGAGACAGATGTTTCTCAAAAGCAGGCCCTATGCTTTGGAACAACATCCCATTGGGCATTAAAAGTGTCAGAGGAAATCTGTGCATAAATGAGAATGTCAAACACATTCTTTTTCAAATCATGTTACAGTTCCGAGTGACTATTACATTGTCAGACTCATATGAAAGCGCCTTTGAGCAGGATTCATCTGGATATTGGCGCTATATAAATCTCTATATATTTTACAGATTAAAGATGAAAATGCAGCAGAAAGGGTTCGGGTGATCCTGGCACAGTCAGGCTGGTAAGGCTCATCATCAGCTCAGGGCCCTCGCCCCCTCTACACGCAGCCCAGACAGCGAATGGGACTTTTCCCAGGAAACACTGCCTAGTCGAACCCACCAAGAACTTTCTGGAGAATATGAAGGCTCCCCAACATTGCAGTCTTCTGCATTACCCAGAGTGTCAGAAGGGCTGTGCTCTCGTTGGAGAACCCGGGCACTCTCCTGATCTGCACCAAGAGATCAGGAGGTACTAAACCAAGGTCACAGAGAACAACGGGGAGCCTGGCAACAGTGTACTTAGGATGCAAGCGAGATGTTTCAAAGGCGAGGTCCGCATATTTATCATGCTTTTCCTGAATCTTGCCAATCACATTGCTGCCCAAAAGGGACAGAAAATTCAATGATATAAACAAATTCATTAGCTTTATTTCTCAGGCTGTACAAGGGCCTATTCCACAGAAGTTTGAAAGCATCATTTTCCATGAGGCCCTGGACATGTTCAGGGTCGTACCATGGATGGACCTCAGAGTCAAAGCCACAGGCATGGCGGAGACGATAATAACAGCAGCGAGCCATGCTATCATGTCTTTTAAGATATGCTGTTTGTGCCAAGGAAGGGCATCCACTGACAAGGTGTTGGACAGTCTCTGTGAATTCATTGCACAATCGACATTTCATATTGCTATTTTCTTTAAGAATCACATTTTTGGGGTTACGAGTTGGAAATGTCTGGTCCTGAGCAGCAAAAAAAGGAAGCCCACAGTTTCACATTTAAGACCAGCCGACTTCATCCAGGCAAAGGAGTCGGTGGGATTGCTATTCTGTTCCACACATTGCATGTACACACGATGCAATGGCTTCTCAGAAAGCTTCTCCACAAAAGACCGACTCTGGGCAGACTTGGTGAAGGACTTCACCTGGTTTACTCCCATCGCTGTACCATCCAGCAGTACATCGCCATCAACAAAATCAACCTCAAATTTCAGATTCTGTCGAACAACCTTGGCACGCTTAAAATAGCTGTGGAATTCTTTGCTTTCATCATGAGTCTTGACATGCATCACCAGAGGATCATCCGGTAAATAAATATGCGCAAAAGTACACACTAAAATTCTATCATGAAGAGCCTCCACATTAATCAAACCCCGACCACCAGAATTGATTGGCATGTATAAACGATTAAGAGAGGAACGAGGGTGGTGGGCTCTGTTATCAGACATGATACTTCTGGTCAGACGGTCAAGACTCTGGATGTCTTGTTTTGTCCAATCAACTACTCCAAAGCAATAGGAAAGGGCTGGCACAGCAAAGGTTTTGGTGGTTTTGACCTTGTTTCGAGCATTTAGCTCAGAGCTCCAGATTTTCTTTAAGCGAGATTTGTACTCGGCCCGAGGTTTGTCTTGAAGCTGGGCATTCTGGAGCTTGTAACCTATTATTATTATTATGTAGGTATCTTTGTACACCACATGTGTTAACAAATGCCCCATGAATCAAGGAATGAAGTTTTTCCCTTAAGTTTACCATGTGGGATAGTGGTATACAACGTTGAAAAATCAAATGTTTTGACAGAACAGAACTTGGCAATGTGCCCAACTCATGTTACAGGCGGAAGTAAATTTCTAGCAATGACAATGACGTTCTGAATGTTGCAATGTTGGAAATGTAGTATTTGGTTTGTCATGTTTGCAAAAAGTCATCAGTGTCAAGTTCGCTGAGTACTGTAAGCTTTGCTGCCTTCCCTTGGCGTGGTTGAACCAGCAGGAAAAACTCTCGTCTCCCCCTCGCAAAGTGAGTGAGGATCGTGGCGGCAGTAGCACGAATACGGTGATCCTGTAAACCTGGACCAAACCACAACACTTGATGATAGTACACATGAAGGTAGCTTGTGTGTTTTTCCCGACTGGCTTGTTCGTGCACCGTGTAGAACCACTGTCTCAGAAACAATAATCGATAGCAATCGTGATGAAGCTAAGCTGAGTAAGTAACGTAAGATGTAGATGGACAGAAAATTAGAAAGAAGAAGAAAATAAGGTTGCTTCATCATCCAACCGCCAAATCATTCCTTATCATCTCTGTGACTTTTCCATGTTTTCAAAACCTTGCCAGAAAGTTGAAGTCTGATGTCAAACTGGTCCTTGTTAGCCAGTCCATGTGGTGTCTGAGTGTTCAAGCGTATAAACGAATATAGTTTCTGCCGAACTGAGTCAAAGATCACTTCTTTGTGTTTTGTCTCACACTTGCCATCATCCTTCAACGCGAGCGAGCATTGTCCTTTTAAAAGACTCGTTTAAATCGTTGAATATCGCAATTTTGATTATGTCAAAGTCTGTAACACTGCAACAGGTATTTCAAATATTTTGAGTCTTTGCCTAATATTCCCCAAAACTCATGTCTTGTTTTGTTCACCTGTTTTGGGTCTGACAGCCAAGTAGAAATGACTGAGTTCTACTTAAGCCACAGCGTCAAATCCTTCGAAAGTTATGTCTTGTCCCCTTTCTGTCAACGATTCGCTATTTTTGTGAGCAGTTTTGTGCTTACTGGGATCAGTGAAGAACGTTTGGTTATATCTTACTAAGAATGTGCAGCGTTTAGTGGCCAATGATACATTCAGTTTCATCATATTTTTGTCCGTGTCTCGTGTTTGTTGGGAGTGAGTGAGTGAGTTTCGTTTCACGCCGCACTCAGAAATATTCCAACTATATAGCTGCGGTCTGTAAATAATCGAGTCTGGACCAGACAATCCAGTGATCAACAGCATGAGCATCGATCTACGCAATTGGGAACCGAAGACATGTGTCAACTATGTCAGCGAGCCTGACCACCCGATCCCGTTAGTCGCCTCTTACGACAAGCATGGGTTACTGAAGGTTCATTCTAACCCGGACCTTCACGGGTCGTTTTTGTTGGGCAGTTTATTGTATATATTTTAGATTCTTGCATAAAGAAAGGTGGATTGATTGAAGATTGATAGGTCATTGTTTGTTTTCATTATAAAGTAATCAGATTTACATGTCTGCACGTCTTATGTTGTTTAACATTAAATGATTTCTCATCCAGCTAGGGTCCATGCAGGAAGTCCCCATGGTCCCTAGTATGGTGATCTACCTTCAGTTGTTGGCAATCTATAGCCTGGTTTTACACTGTATTGTCATGTATGGTTAAAATATTTTAGATTGAATACTTGTTTTATATTTATATCTGTGATAATCTAGTTGTTTTACTGTCCTTCGTTGACAGAATTTTATTATTTCCCTTTAATTGTTAACATATTTAAGACTTGATTCAGTAACGATATGGCTGAAATGATGTGACTTAAAATCTGAACTCACTCACTCACTCAATGATTTCTCCGTGATCTGGCCCCGATTTCTCGAAACAAACTTAAGTCTGAGTTTTTACTCCAATTTGAGAAAACGCAGGAAAATGCATTTCCCAGAATAAACTGAAATCAATATTAAACTCAAACTTAGTAGACAATTTGAGTTTGGTGGATAGATTACTTAAGTTGTTCGGGCTTTTTTTATTCAAAAAATGCAGTTGAGTTAAAAATTCAGCTGTTTCAAATTGTCAAACTCAGTTTGTAATTTGAGTAAAAACTTAAGTTTGTTTCGAGAAATCGGGGCCTGGTCGATAGAGCATCCAGCTGGAGAATGGAAGGTTTCTGATCAACCAAAACACGTTAAAGGATGCTATAAGCCTGTAAGTACAAGAATCCACACACACCGTGTGAGCATTTCCCTATCCAATTGACATGATCTTCAAAGCTACATCAAACAGTATTTCACCACACTACACTACACATTGTATTAAGGATCAATAGTCACCTTCCTCAGTCGGATATTTTCTTCCTGAAGACTGGGGATGATACCTGGGAAATAAAATAATAATAGTGTGTATGTCATCAACCAGTTGCACGTTTACACAGAAGCCAAACATTGTACATCTATACGGAAACCCACAATCACTGATGCAGTTGGGATAAGCAGTCGCCAAACAATGCACCCGAGACAGTGTCTTATTAAACATACAGAAGAGAGAGGGAGGAAGTCTGGACAGTTGGACAAGTACCCTCATATGGGTGGGGTTACAAAGAGGCTTGGGTGTGGTAAGACTGAGAAACGATACCTTGACCAATTCGTTTCAATGCATTAAGCAACCGTATTATGTTTTATATTAAATTTTCCACCCGTTATCAATAGAGAACTCAGAACAATAACAATAACGCGGATACCGCTATAACCGACACTATACAGTTTTGCCTCTGATTGACAGATGACAGAAAAAATAATTCATTTTTTTATGCTTTATTTATTCATTTTAAGCAATTATACAGTTTTGCATAACAATATATTCAAGAAATAAAACATGACAGTTCGACCAAAGCTTATAAAAGTAATCTCTATTACAATTACATTTTGTTAACTTTGTTAACTGTTATGTTTTATTAAATAACCAAGAATAATATTTTCTTTGGATACCGGGCTATGCATTTTTTACGATATCCCATTTTCCATGTCTCGCCATATGGAGCTTACTTTCCTGCAATTCCCAAATATATGTATAATACTTCTATTTCTTCTATTTCTATCTTCTATTTCTTTAGAATAGTACGTAGTACTGTCTACCTATCCTATTTTATTGAAAAGACAGTTATCACTGGCAAAATATGATTCAAGATGATTTGATACTTGAAACATTATAGTGTAGTCACGTTCGTGCAACTAAACGGGATAGGTGTGATTCTCTTTCTATCTTGTTCTTTCATAGTATGTCAAGAGTCGTATTACCATTGAACAAAATAGTAATTTCTCTCGCTTAATTTGTTCATCAGTATTTTATAGAAATATTGCCAAACTTGTTTTGATTTTTCAGATGATATATACTAAAGGAAAAAGTAAATGTTATCCATGACATAAAACTGCACAAAATAAACGTCAGTTGAGAATGTATAAACATAACCCTTAATAAACATGTAGCAAAGCATTTTGCATGAAATTTGATGTCAAGTGGCAGAAGCACTTTGTGCACAATGAACTTATGTTTTGCATACTTTTTTAAACCGAAGTTCACACACCTGATATTGAAAACCGTTGATTATTCTCTAGCCTCTAAATGTTGTGGAAAACACGTTAAGTTCAACCTAAACTTAGCGTCTACGCGCGGTGGGTAAGCTGGAGACTGGCTTGGCCCAAAATGAAGTGGTCAGACAATTTGGTGTCCATCCAAACACGATCTCATCTCAATGGAGACGTTTACAACATAATTTTTTGCCTCGGATCGGCAGTACACGCGTGACGTCACGTCAACAAGACAACTACTTTCTGCTGACCCATCTAGGGAATTGATTCCAGACTGCCAGTTTGACTGCCGGACATTCCTGGCTTACGTCCAATCAGGACGGGTACGGAACAACCTAAGGAAGCACAACACCCGGTCCCGACGGCCTGCAATACGTTGACTTTGGCTTCAACTTCACCTTCAAGCACGTCTTGCCTGGTGCAGACAGCATCTACGGTCCAGGAGACAAGATTGGGATTGTTCACTTATGAGTGAAGATTTCATCTGGGTAGCTCAGATGGCAGGGGCAAGGGTGTACAGACGGCGAGGTGAATGGTTGATAAGCTCTCTATTGATAAGATCTCATGGTCGGACACAACTTGTCATTATCAGTGGCAATCTGACAGGTCTCCGATACACTGAGATCATTGAGCCCTATATGTAGCTGTTCATTCAAGGACAGTGACGTAACTTAAAGATTTCCTGAGGCAGAAGAACATTCCGGTACTCCCCTGGCCAGCTGTTGTTCCTATCCTGTCTCCTATCGAACGCGCTTGGGATGAAATGGAAAGAAGTTTACGCTGCCAAGCCCAGAATCCGCCACGGAAGTTGTAAACTGACTTTTGACACCAAATCTCTTCAAGGGCGCGTCACGATGCCTAGTGTCAAATCATGCAGATTTCAATATTATCTGTCAACAGTTAAACAGTGATTGACACCACAAATCATGTTATTACTTTTGTGCATTAAAATATAGCATAACATCAAATAATGCACATTTACTTTATTCCAGTAATATATTTGAAATGGTAACATGTGAGATTGTAGGTGTTAATGCTAAATACGAGTTATGTTGTATTCAGTAATGTTCAGCATTGTTAAACCAGGAATGTGCGAGTGTCTTGTACGGTGGCCTAGTAGTTAACGCGCTAGACTTGTGATCCAAAGTGCTAGGGTTCTAATCCAGCGTAATGCCTAAAACGTTTGCAAATTTAATCAGTAAATATATAGCCTCACTTTCATTATTGATGATCACATGACCTAACCCTTGCACAAAAACTTCATGCAGAGTTGGATTCACTGTGCTATCCACATGGTCACTTGGCTGTCAGCAAACCTCTCTGTATGGTAACACAAATGTGAGTACTTTTAATCATACATTGTGTACTTTACATGACATTTGAGTAGTATGTTGTTGGCGTTATCATTTGGAATATTTTGACATTATTATTGTGTAATTTTGATAGAAAGCTGTTATTGAAGCACGTTATTGGAATGCATTGTCTGACAATCTTCAAACGTTTTATTTAATAATTTTAAAGTGCTTTATTTGATAATCATATAATCCTATATTTGAAAATTCAGACAAGTTAAATTTAAATGCCGTAATTAATACATTAGTTAAAAGAATCATTTTGTTTCTTTTAGTTTCTTAAACCTCATCGATGGATCGAGTCATGTCAACGATAATTAGCCAATGACTTGTCAACGACTACCGAAAATCGTAACCTTAATAAATCCCTGTCGATGCGAGTTTTGGAATGTGTTCTTGCATATAATGTAGGATAGTGTTTGTTTTTGGTAATCGTTGACTTCGGCAAAACCGTTTAACAGCATGAACACTTGTGTAAGTTCACATAGTGGATAACAACGAACAACTTGTTGTCGACGTATCGGCGAGGGTAACCGCCAAGGCAACGATTCCTGACCATGATCGGTCATGATCGGTCAGCGGGTGCTAGTGGGACCAGGTTCTGGGGCAGTGAAAGCAAACGAACATTGAGAGTACGACAGAGACCAAGCAGTAGCTGGTCCAGGTTGTATGTTTTGCATTAATATGGTGGACTTACTTATATTGTTGGACACTCCCAAAAGTGATATAACAGACATTTAGCTTCATTGTATCAATGGCAGTGATTCTGTTATTTTTATTCTTTATTGTAGAGCTTATAACCTTTTGCACGAACATACAAGTAATAGACCGATCCAGTCTGTCAATCAAAACTGGCGCATGCGTCAATTTTGGCCAATCAGCAGGCCGGGGGCGCTGTGTGGATTTGTCAGACTTATTTCCGGGGTCAAACGATGCCTCCGAAGCGATGTGCTTTGAATTATGCCATTTACACTCGCCATATCTATTACATATTACTGTGATTTGATGTGTACCTTAAACCTGAAATGAGACAGGCGAGAAAGCCGTGACACAATGTAAACAAATCTGACAGCGAGCTGATTTCGGTTAGGGTCGACTGAAATAGCAAAACTTGTTTCATTAAAGAACAATGTGGTGGATATGGTTGCATTCGCGATTAGATATTCTTAAATTTGTCACACATTTTAGGATGTTTTAAAGTTTCAAAAGCACAATCTGAAGGCCTATGAACAGTACAGTATCTGTTGATAGTGCAAAATATTCGAGGAGTAATATTTTTTTATCCAAACGGAAATATTGTCAGTGTCAGCAGTTGCCTATCATGCAATATCCAAACGTCAAAATTAATTCAAATGAGTGTCTATAAAACCATGTCTTAAATATTTCAGAATTTCTATAAAGAGATGGGACCCTGAATTGAATTAGCTTATTCCATGTTGATCGGAGACGAAAACTATGTGAGAAGAATAGTGACTTTCTGGAATATCGGAAGGAGTGAAATATAATTTTATTTCCTAACTATGAGAACATTATTTGTTTTGATTTTTTGTCACAGCATTTTTACATTTGGGGTGGGTGGGGGTGGGGTACATTGGTACATTTTATGAGTAATTACATAGTTCTGTCATTTTAATTATAATTCACTGGAAATGATAGCAAGGTTTGTTTTAAGAATCTTGCCTCCTCCAGGAAACGTGGAAAGGTAATAAAATAGGTAATAATCGAATCAATTATTAATAATTACTTAATTGTCTCACATATCAGATTCATGTGAATTTAAGGCAGAACTAGGCAAACAAACACTATATACATATCATGGCTGAACAATCACTTGGTACTAAGATAGCTAGTTTGTTTTAAGATATATTTGGTCTTTAAATAATATGTTTACTAATAAGATTATTCAGAGAGTGATCACTAGTATCATCACTCATTATAAAGTTATTTTAACATCCAGATAATTTGAAAAAAAACAAAGGCTACGTTTTGTTCACACCCAGGCATTATTCAGTCTTGGAACCAAATAACTTGCAGAATTCTAAGTTGACTGTTCATGTAACTGGAATGGATATTGAAACATATAATATTCAACCCCGATTTCATGTAATACTTCTTAGAAATCATCAGCTTTTGAGGAGGTTACCAATATTTGAAGATTGAGCCAAAATAGTGTTTATTAAGATGTTGGCTTTGGACAAATTGTTCAAGGTTTGTTGATGCTTATTTGGAAAATAAGCTTAATTTCATATTAAATTTTACTATGGTTTAATTGCAGGAGGTGAAAGCTTTAGGACATTTTCATGTATGTTTTCCTAAACTTTTGTTATGACTTACCAAATTTTTAAGCAACTTTAATATAATTTTGATGACACTAGTAATTATCTCAGAAAAGGAAATAGATCAGGATTAGTGTTATGTCCCTAAGGGATATGGTCTCAGATCTAATAAGATTATCATTGTTTAAGAAGCAATAATGTCAATATGTAATTTTATTGACAAAAAGATTTAAATTTTGAATACATTCTTTGCCTCCTATTTACATTAGTAGTTAGCAGTTAAACATATCTGAAGAAAAAGCAGTAATTTTTTACGTTGTGTAACATTCTACTTCAATACTAGTTAACTGTTCGGATAACTGTGGATCCTCTGTTCAAAGATTTTGCATCACACGTTTCCTATTTATGGAAGATGTGTATCTTGGATTCTTTGTGTTTATGGTGGTGTGACATACCTGTAGATAAAAGCTGGCAGTTCATGAAGTCCATTATATTGGAGGTTTGTAGATTAGGATTCCACAACAAAGTACACATAGAAAAATAAATTGGAAAGGATAATTAAAAAAAATGGATTTCCTTATATCCAGTGTCATTTTAAGGTGTGTACAGATTTTGAAGAGAGAAATTTTACTGAGAATAGCTGCAGATTAGCTGCTGAATATTTGCTTCTGTGTATGTCCAGAAACATCCATGGAAACATACTGTGTTAACAGGTCAAGTAACGTTTTCCAGATAATATATACAGACAAACAAGGTGGACGAAGTAGTAGACGGGATACTGTTTTCCTGCGTTGTTCCTTGAAAGGTAGAAACCCACGTTTTCACAAACTTCTAATTTAACTAAATTTGAACAATGGATAAATAAATAAAGGTGGCACGCGCAGTTTTGACAATCTTTTTATAGATACCGAAACGATCTGCAACTTGCACATGTGGTAGTGTTCACGGTTTTTATAATATTACGATGGGAATTTTAGAAAAAGCAACAAACAACATAATTCAGTTACCTTTCCCCTGCTCATATCTTACACGAACGTGAATTGCCGGATAGATTATTTGGTCGAAAATACGCTTCCCAATCTCAGCAGCTGGCTGAGACGATTTTTCATCGGGCATGTAGATCTAACTACATTTTCACTCGCCAACTATACAACCTGTCAACTAAAATATATTGAAAATAAAATACGTATACTTTTCCTTTTTAAACATCATTCACAAACGACGGATACCAAAGTACAACAAACAGAATTCATCAACAACATTCGCAATCACGTACGTTTCGCCGGCGGTGACGCCATTGTGATTAGTCAGTAGTTGTCCCCCCTAACGTCAAAAACGAAGTGGGCGGGGCTTATCGGCCGGGACTGGATCGGTCTATTCATTGACCTTTGCCTGCAGTATAGCATATATCTGCATTGTCAACACCTGATACATTGCGATTACGCCAGACATCCAGCTAATGGACCAGCTTCAGATCTGCAGCAGGAATTGCTGGCAAGTGTGTCAAGGTGTGGTGTATGTTTCGCATAAACATGGTGGACATACCAGATATTTCTGGACGCTCCCAAAAATGATATTACAAACATTTAATTCACTAATTTGTTTTTGGAAGTACATCTTTTTAGTTGTTCCTTTAGCAACCGACCGGTACTATACTTGTGTACACCGTTGTACACAGTGATTCTGTTATTATATATATTTAAAGTAGAGGTTATACGTTTTCCACGGACATATAGTAATAGTAATAGTCCGCTTATATGGCGCTCATATCCACGTACATTACTATCCTCGGTCATAGGACACTATCGTACTTTCCGTTACTTTTTCAACTCCCTGGGGATCATACAGCCATGCTGCCTGTTAGGCGCAATGACATCAACACTCACATTGCCAGCACATCCTCACGGGTACCCATTTTAGTACTAAGGAACTAATGTACCTTCCCATTCAGTATAGCATCTATCTGCTTTGTCAAAACCTGATAGGGTATTCCCATGTAGCTGCCTAATCACCAATTGAAGATACTGACAGTGTGCTCACCTTAGACAATCATCAGTCAGGGCAATGTCAAACTGAAGAATGAACTTATTCAAGACTTCACTGTTACCTGCACTGCAACAGTGCTGGTTACAGTCAGAAAGTATGTAAATTTCATTCATCACAGATGTACAGCTTGAGCATTGTCATCCATAGCCACAAATCAAGAAGCAATCGTTAAGTCGGAATCAGAACTTTCAGCCCCGGATTAGCCTCCATGCCTACCATCATCTTATCCACCCCACAGTTTCCACATGCACCCAACAGATCAGTTCTCTGTATCTACTGCAGCAATCATCAACTTGCTAAGGTGGATATCGTTTGTTTTGTTTGCAGCTCACCTGGCCCTGGTTCAGCCAATGTCTGTGTAGCCCTTGAGGTTTGTTGTTCCACTTCATTTCCAACATGGCGCTCGGTTGTAGGACACGCAGCGTCATCTGCAATGCAACAGTAAAATAGATAAACTCGTGTGTAGTCCCAGTTTCCTTTGCATCCCCATTCCCTTCATACCGTGGCAACATTTTACACCATGATACCTATATGGTACACTGCAGTATTCCTCCCTCCGATCCCTTTTCCCTTCGTACTGCGGCAACATTTTACACCATGACACCTATATGGTACACTGCAGTATTCCTCCCTCCGACCCCTTTCCCCTTCATACTGCGGCAACATTTTACACGATGATACCTATAAGGTACACTGCAGTATTCAAGTCTCCCTTCGGCCTCTCTCCCGTTGATACTGCAGTAACAGTTCACACGTATATATTACAAGTGAACGAGCGTCACTTTGTATTCCTCTCATATCAAAACAGTTTATTTCAAATGCTGACGTTTTCTTCGCACATTCAACCGCGACACGTCTCACCAGGTATATGTAAAATATTGATAGTTACGATATAGTTGTAAGTACAACATTCAGGAAACGACCTGTACACTAGCAACCTAAGTGTGTGGTGCCATGCATAAAGCGGATATGATGTACTCGGGATAACAATATTTGTATGTGTAGAAACATAATACATTTCGATTCGTACCTCTGATTATCCGAGTTTTAGAACTGCTGTTAGCAATGCAGAAGCTTTGAATGAAGAATTAAACGTCATGTTTACAGCTCTTTGTGAAATATTAGGGTTGGGAATTGCAGCCAGATGAAATTATTACTTTAGTTTTCCGGTCAACTGATTCTACATACACTATAATATATAAGTATAAATATACTGAGTCAAAAAAGAAACTTCACAAAATGTAATTTGAAAAATAATGAATAATTTTGCTCTGATGATACATCTATGTATCCGAAATGGGATCCCTATCTTTTGACTCTAGAAAAACGTTAGCAAAACCCACTCAAACCCATCCATTCGTCGTGCAAATGATGTTAGTGCCAAATCAGGTTTTGCACGTGCAGTCGAACACGTGATCTTCGCATTTCTTCATATGCACGTGTTTGCATTGGCCTCAAGAATTGAAAAAACACTTTTAAACCACAGTTCTAACAGTACTTGAAATGCCACGATCGTCAAATGTGCAACGTGGACGTGCCGTTGGCATGTTGCAAGCGGGAAGATCGGTTATTGACGTCGCAAGAGCAATGGGATGCAGCCGTCGTACTGTGTATGACTTGCGAGGTCGTCTACAACAAACTGGCACCACTTCTGATCGCCCAAGGTCGGGTCGTCCACGTGTGACGTCACGAGCAGAAGACCGTCAAATCGTCCTATATCACTTACGTGACAGATTTCTGCTGGCAACACGAACCAGGGCTGAGATGTTTAGAGGTCGACTGTCCTCACAGACCATTCGAAATCGGTTGCGGGCTGCCAATCTCCATTCTCGACGTCCATATCGTGGGCCAATATTGACGCCGTTTCATCAACGTCAAGGTCTGCTGTGGGCCCAACGTCACCTCTGATGGACCCAGAGAGTCATCTTTAGCAATGGATCCAGGTTTACCCTCAGATTCGCGGACGGCAGGCATAGAGTCTGGAGACGACGTCGTGAACGGTATGCCCAATGTTGTGTACAGGAAGTCGACAGATTCGGGGTCGGAAGTTGCATGGTGTGGGGTGCTTTCTGTGGGAACAACCGTTCCCGACTTCTGGTCATCCGTGGAAACCTCACAGCTGCTGCTTACCGCGACCAGGTGCTCACCCCTGAACGGCCCAGGTCTACAGTTCCAGCATGATAATGCTCGGCCGAATACCGCGATGTTGACACGAAATTTCCTTCAAAACGCTGGAATCAACGTCATGGACTGGCCATCGAGGTCCCCTGACCTTAATCCAATAGAGCACGTTTGGGATGCACTTGGGAGAAGGCTTCGTGGTCTTAGGAACCAACCTCAGAATTTGCAGGAACTTGGCGCTGCCTTGCATGAGCAGTGGCGCAGAATCCCCAACCACGTGTTCATAAGCATCAGGCAGTCGATGAGGAGACGGTGTTTGGCAGTGGTGAATGCGTGGGGCGGCCATACACGATATTGAACTGAGAAATTTCGCATTGTTATTCTTGTGACTTGACATTCTGTATACCCATGTTTTGGAACGGCGGTGTAGCCTAATGGAACTGATTATGGCACTGTCAGTGTATCGAGTACATCACACAGATCTAAGCAATGAAATAATAACAATTTAACCATCTTACCATCTCTTGTTCTTTTATAGTGCCCTGAAGAAAGAATGTGAAGTTTCTTTTTTGACTCAGTATAGATATAGGGAAGTCAAAATTAAAATGTTGGCATAGATCCCTCTCTTTCAAAATCACTGCAAAACGGACATTCACATGCTCATCGTATGATACACTACTGGAATAAAATAACTGTGCATTATTTTCAATGCAAGACGATAACATGATTGGCAGTGTTTTTCTTAATTACTGTTTAACTATCGACACTATAATATCGAAATCTGTATGATTTGTCACTAGGCATCGTGACACATCCTTGAAGAGATGTTGTGTCAAAATTCATTGGTGTTGATGGAGGCTTGGCAACGACGCAGAGAGACAGACAGGCAGACAGATCGTTTATTACGAGTCTCACTTCATACATTATACATTCAAAACATTGTCAAAAGGTAAAATGCACAAAATGAGCCATCCCTTATGTGATTATGAGAGACTATTTACAAATAGTAAACGCGCCGTTCCTTTAAAATATCATAGCGGGTCTTGGCTGTTAATTTACATAAAATAGGACTAGACATTAAAAACGATAACCTTTCCACATTTGTAATATTCATACAATTACCAATTAAAACAATGCACTCAGCCAACAGACGTTTTGTAAAAGACTGATATAAAGGACAGTATTAAAATACATGCATTTCATCTTCAACAACAGTTAAAACACACTCTCTCATTTGAGGGCATACTACTGTAGCGACCAGTTTCTAGTAACAAGGGGGCAACACCGCATCTATACATGGCTATCGCTTATCTGTGGCCTCGTGGGATATTATCAGTAATGTAGTGTTCCACTTCATAGTTCGTCTTAAAGGGTCTGTAATGTCGACGTATATACCTCACTTGCCATCTCGACTAGTTGGGCAATCTATCTTCTTCCAGTTCTCATAACATATCTGTCGTACTGCACTCTGAACCTTGTGTATAACTTCCTTCAACTTCTTCGAAATCAGTCAAGTTTAGTGATGAAACGTTTTATCCAGGTATTTTTCTTTCGTAATGCCAACTGTTTGGCCCAGTTAAAAATCTTAAAACTACGTCTTTCGGGGTTTAGGCTGTTGAGTCTGGTGTAGTCCCCGGAGTCTCACTGGTGTCGGGGTCCAACCAATCTTTCCTTCCACCGCCGCGTTGGGGGGAGATTTCCGAACACCCATAAAGAATTTCATAGCTCTTTTCTGTTGAGTCGCGGCGTACGTAGCGTTTGAACTCCCCTAAATCGCTGCTTCTTAGTCAGCAGAAGACCAGACCATAGTGTCAAATAATAAACCCAGTGCTCTATGTGCCAAACTTGCTACAGCATTGGAAACGTGTGCGCAGTCCAGGTGTTCTGTTATCAATAGGTCTAAATAACAGTAACTGTCCGCTAGTTCCAGGGACGTTGTGCCACTTTGAAAAGTACAAGTCGTTCTTAGTAAATGCACAGGTCTACAATGCAGTACTTTGAATTTATCCGGGTTTACAGTCATGAGGCTATCCGTACACCAGTTATGTAAAACGTATAAAAGCACTTGTAGGTCCGCTTCATCTTCAAGTAACAAGACCTGGTCGTCTGTATAAGCTAATACAGCAAGTGTTTCGTCCTTAATCTTCACACCGATGTCAAGGCTGTTCAGGGTAGTGATCATCGTAGATGAAGACACTGAACAGCAGAGGGGAGAGAAGACACCCTTGTATCTGACCACATCTGGTGTTAAACCATTCCGTCATATTTCCATTGATTCTAACACAACTCTAGACACTCTTATACAGAGAGAAAATAGCTTCATACCTATTGCCACAGATCCCATTTCAGATAGTTTTGTCCACAAAATAGATCTATCAATATTGTCATATAAATTTTTTAAAAGTCTATGAAAGCTAAAAACGTAGATTTCTTGAGTGATGTCCCAGTTTCAACTATGGATGTCGGTGATGTAATGTGCTCCACTGTAGATCTGCCCCTCCTGAAACCATACAGTCTCTGGTTTCTGCATACTTTTACAGTCTTGAGTTTGTAGCTCGAGTTCTTGAGAGAAATCCCTCTGTGTGATAATGGATCACCCTTGTCAGCACACGATGACTTCAGGATGGGATTGATAATACTGTTAGTCCACTCGCTTGGTATTTTCCCTCTAGGGAAACACATATAAACAAGTCCATGTAAAAATTGTTCGGTTACCTCCCTTGATTCCTATGTAGACGTATAATCCACATCAGAGTTCACATTATTTAACAAATTACTGTAACTTTCTTTCCATGTATTTTAAACAGTTCCCTTTTCACCGGACAACGTACCAACTCCAACTTTTTCGTTCTCCTATCTTTTTCCAGAACTCCTCCATATTTTTCTCACAGAGACTTTCCAATTCAGATATAGACTTTCTTGGTTGTAGCGTTGTTTGCATCTTCGCGCTTCTTTATAGAATATGGTCCTTTTCTTGACTCTCTTAACCTACTCTCTTAACTTTCGTGTAACGTCGTTATATCTACATCATTCACGTTCAGCTTTACACATGTCATTTCATAACAAAGTTTGTTTATCAGTCCACCAAGGTTTCTTCCGCAACGTCTTTCTCTTGTTCGGTCACCAAGTAAAAGTCACGTGTGTTTCTTGCCAGCGTTGAATCCATTTCTTGCTTAACGGTAGACAGGAAATTAGCGAAGGCTACATCCACATCTCACTGTTCTCAGAGTGACCATTCCAACTTGGATATGGTTTCGGGCACACACGTAACATCATGTTTCACACATTTCACACTTGATTGATCACAGTCACAGAATTGCTAATATGACGTTCCGGGAGAATGTCCAAAGTCCATGATATTACGGAGTGGTCTAATTTAGTAATACTGAACTAAATCACAGACGTGTAACATTAAAATTAGAAATACGATTAAATTCTTCATATGCACATAAACAATAATTAACCACAGAGGCCCCTTTGCCTGAAATACAAGTAAAGTCATTTTGTACATTATTTCTACCATTTACCATACAGAAATCTGTGTTTATCAAGAATTCAGCTACCGTTTAGATTACCTCAAATATAACTAATATTATACTCATGGTACTCAGATATCTGAATCAGGAATTTGTCATAAAAGTCATCTGCATCGATGTTTCAGGTAGAACATTCTGAATGCAAAGAACATGCACATATGCAAAATAAGCATCTACTATTGTGTTCTAATTTTAACCACAAAATGCCTTCATTCACAACATCAAGAATAGTCACATTATATGTAAGCAATAAGTCATTTTCTATTATGAAGCCCACGCCTCCAGATCCTCCCTTGCCTTGCCAGTGCAGATAGTTTTATTGTGTCCAAACCACGAATAGTCTTCCACAAATATAGATTGATTAAATTTCAGATGAGTTTCAACTACGCCAACAATGTCACAATCTAAATGAGAAACACAAGTTGATCTTAACAGATGATCATTTGAATTACTGTCACTAGCCTAACCATTGCAGTATCAAAGCCCGGACTTGTACTAATTTGAATAACTAGCCCTGTCTCTTCTAGTCACGTGCTCTCTTCCTTGTTCCCGCTCCTTGCTCCTCGTCGGATGATTGGCTCGCCCGTTGTCACGTGATGTTTGTTGATAGTTGTTGGCGCGTGTTGTGTGTTGATAGTCCAATCCACGTGCTGTGGCTGAGTCACTTCTTTCGTTCCTTCCATCCTGGCGTCGGTCATTTCGTTGTCGTTGTACACGTCCTCCAGTAAACTTCAAGTCTTCCTTTACGATAGCATCCACCAGCATTTTAAACCGACTTTTATCGGCTGCAATGTACACATTTCTGAAGTTTCTTGATTCATTCAGCTTCTTCTTCTCAGAAAGAATCACATTCTTGTCGTCGATAGAACTAGATTTGGTGACGATGACACCGGGATACCTGCTATTTCTGGACACTTTCCTTTTTGCACGTTTAAAACGAATCTCTCTTAACTTCATTTAGCAAACCATTAACCTTTATTAAAACATTTTCATTATTTGATTCTGGTACATTATGTAGCACAGTATCGTGGGTAATGTCACCGTGTGCACCTTCTGCAAACTGTTTTTCCAACTTTCTACATGTCTGTAAATGCGTGTCTAGCTCGTGTCTGAAAGCAGTTGTAGTCTCCTCTAACAGTTTATCACAACTACTCACACTGTCCTCAACTGTATCCACTGTAGTGTCAAGTCTACATACTTCAGCTTCAATGGCTGATTCTGGGCTTGACGCAAACGTTGCTCCATTTCATCTCATGCGTGCTCGATAGCGGACAGGTCCGGAGAAACATCCGGCCGGGGGAGTACCGGAATGTTCTTCTGTCTCAGGAAATATTTCACAACACGAGTGAGATGTGGACGTGTATTATCTTGCTGAAGTTACGTCTCTGTCCTTGAATAAACAGTTGCACATGAGGCCCAATGATCTCATCTCTGTATTGCAGACCTGTCAGATTGCCATGGACAATCACAAGTTGTGTCCCACCATGAAATGTGATGGCGCCCCATACCATAACCCTACCACTACCAAAATGTGGACGTTGAGCAATGCACGCGTCAGCATACAGTTTACCTCACCCTCTGCACATCCTTGCCCTGCCATCTGAGCTGTCGAGATGAAATCGCGACTCATAAGTGAACAAATTACCATCCCAATCTAATCTTGTATCCTGTGCCATAGATGGTGTCTGCACCAGGAGGCAGTGGAGCAAAAGAGGACATATGGCTGGAGGTCGGAGCCGGATGTTGTGCTCCCTCAGTCGAATCTGCACAGTCCTGAAACTGATTGCTCGTAAGCCGGGAATGTTTCGAGCAGTCAGGCTGGCAGTCTGGAATCGATTCCTTAGATGGGTCAGCCGAAAGTGATTGCTGACGTGACGTCACTCGTGGAAGGTCAGTCCGAGGCAATTCTCTCGTTTTACTATTATGTTGAAAATAGAAATGGTGGAGAACTAAATGTTGAATGGAAAATAAGGCTCTTCAAAACATCGAAAACGATGCAAACATTCAATATCTTAATTGCTTAAAAAATCTGTTCCTCAAGTACAGTAATTAAGCACAGTTGGTAGCCACGAAAACTACGGATCTTGGAGGTTAGGTTCGAAAAGCCATTGCTGTCCAAAACTGATTTTTTTTTATATTATAAAGGTAATCCTAATCCTGAAATTCAGGAGCAAAAGGTAGCCGCCTTGTGACTGGATGACAGCGGCAACCATCCTCCTTTTGTTCCTGGTAAGCGATCAAGAGGTACTGGTGCCACTCCCTCTAAGGGTGCTACATTCTCTATGGTGGATCAGTTATAGCGCCTGCATAAGACGTCTAGGAATGTCCCAAACAACTTATTCAAATTTGTACTCATAGCAGGCAATATTTTAATAGCGTGTCCTCCAGAAATGCAGTCGCAGGTCGAGGGTGATGAGGTTTAGCGTTGTCATCCATAACCACCAATCGAGAAGCAAGCGTTAAGACATTGATATTAATCGCATCTGAAGTCCGAAAACGGCGAACAGCAGACGACACAATATCTGGGTGAAGTTTAAAGGCATTGTTAGTTCTCTATACCAAACCAAAACGGGATCAGAACTCACCCTTGACGGACCCTAGTCTTAAATTTAAGAACTCTGATAAACACTGTCATAAATAGTCACGTCTTGACTTAAACAAGTTAAAAATTCATGATAATGTTTTTCAATAATCTTACTTTATGTGTCAGAAATAATGAAAATATACCATTATACAACCGTAAGGCTGTTATTCTTTCAATCGGAATATTTCATCTGTTGTGAGTATCAATACTTCAGGTTTCAAAAGAACGCGTTTATACTATTGTACTGATTTAACATAGAATAACACAGTAGCTGTTCTTACCTGTATCCCCAGCTTCTCCAACAATAAAGTACGTCATGACATCCTCGTCAGACTGGTATGGACTGGACCCGACTGAGGTGTCAGTACTGCTATCGGACATGTTGCTGCTGTATGTGGAGTCAGTACCGTTGCTCATGGTGCTGCTCATGATGTATGGAGTATAGCTGGTGATGCTACTTGAATACAGCTGGTTGTGCTGCTTGAGTATAGCAGACGTTGCTGCCTAAGTGAGCTGGCGGTACTGCTTGGGAACGGCTGAAAGTATGGTTTGATATATCCACTGTAATGTTTATCAACAGGATAGACGTTACCATATTATACCACGAAGATGTCACAATATGTATTCAAGCAGCATAAGATTGCATAATTCCGGCTATCGTACGAGTATGTGTCAACGAATACTTGTTACATATAGCCACCGATAGGCAGAGAGTATCCTGTCCAAGCCGTCAAAGGAAAAGTCGTCCCTCTTGTCACACAGGTATTCAGAGAATTTGTCGTCACCAAGAACCTCCGTGCATAGATTGAAATATAAAGCAGATGAGGCTGGTCCACTTGTCTATCGGATGTCTTGTTCAGAAGAGTTACTCTGTAAATCAGCGCAAGGGAACTGGTTGTTTGTTACTGATCTTAAAGAGATGTAGCATTCAATGTACGAGTGTCAAAGAATTTCTGAAGCCACTCAAATTTGCTCATTCTTCGAATAATTGCGTCACTTATATCGAGTAAGTATGATCTTGGCCCTTGTCTATCGTAGAAAACAACACCATCGCAATATCGAATGGCTACTTCCAAAACACAAAGCTCAGATTGTAGGACAGGGTGGAATGCTATGTTTATCAGGTCTCTAGGAGCGTCTGTGAACTCTCCCTTCCTTGTCAGAACACACAGATCAGTTTCAACCTTCTTATAGATACTCTCTATCAAGGATTTCTGTCTCACATGTAGTTTGAAACCAACAATTTCTGCAACTTTTGTTTGATAACCTCTCTGTGTGACAACTTCCTTTTCGTTAACTCCCAGGTAGTATGACCCACCTTGAACCAGCTTTGACATAGACGTTATGTTATCTTTCAGTTTAAGATTGTGCCAGATATGGTCAGTCAGTTTTTCAACGTGGGCTTGTTTACGCTTAATCTCTTCAGTTTTGACTTTGAATGCTTTCAACTGTATATGCCGATTCTCATGAAAAGTGTTCACATTTGGGGGCAGATTCCTGAGAGACGCTTGGTTCTTTTCCGTTATTTCAGTTTTGCCCAGTACTTCTGAGAGGATCAATGAATTTATATCCAGGTTCTCATTGTCATTGTTTGCCTTCGTGTTGAAATCAACCGTAGCTACACCTGCTGTTTTGTTAACTTTAACAACAAGAATGTCACTCGTGTCCGCGAATTTCGGTTGATCACTAAGAAAATATCTTTCATATGTATCAGTATACAGTTCGCCACATTCAAGTAAGTTTGTGAAAGTTCTAACCACAAATTCATCAAAGTACTCGAGACACCCATCTTCTGGTGATGTCCCCTTCAGGTGAACTAACAACACTCCCCCACCACTGTTACGCAACGCTGACACCGCTTTTGCTACTTTCTCCAAGACTGATGACTTCTCTTTGCTTTTCTTTCCCCTGATGGTGTTGTATTCTGCATGTAGCTGTATTGTTGAATTTCGAGGACCCTTCTTGTATTCTTCTTCGTACCTGTGTCGTATCAACTTACACACTGGGCATCCATCTGCAACGGAATGTAAGCATGATTATAGACAATGTAAGATAAGTTCTATGATCGTTTTAGTGTAGCAGCCCAGGAATTCGAACCACCGAACTTCTGATCTGAAGTCGTACGCCTGTTCCATGACCAAATTGACCTTAATTAGTGAATTCTGATCATCTAATCTGCCCACCTCAAGCAATTTCACTCTTTCTATGTTTGCTTTTCAAAGTAGGTCGTGAATGCAACGTCAGCTGTTTTCATCAAAGCTCACAACCCCGATTGATTTCTTAACACAATATGGTTTCCAAACCTAATCTCAAATCCAGACTTGACTGACCCGTGAAGGTCCGGGTTAGAGTTGGGGTCTTAACCCATGCTTGTCGTAAGAGGCGACTAACGGGATCGGGGTTTCAGGCTGACTTGGTTGATACACATGTCAACACATCCCAATTGCGTTGATCGATGCGCATGCTGTTGGTCACTGGATTGTCTGGTCCAGACTCGATTGTTTATAGACCGCCGCCATATAGCTGGAATATTGCTAAGTGCGGCGTAAAACAACAAACCAACTAACTAACCAGACTTGATTGGTTTCAGGCTGCCATAATTTGTTCAAACTAATCATTTCATATTATTGTAGATTTTTATAGCTATAAACAACGAAGCATATTTAGCACATAATATAGCACATAATATAGCTTGGCAGGTTATGCTATATCAGGAAGCAGTTCAAACGTCGCTGTAACGTCCTAAGCTTGTAGGGGGTTCATACCTGTCCACTCTTGTGTTTCACTTTCACCGTTGTAGGAGCCATCTGTGAACAAAGAAGAAATGTTAACATCGTCATGACGCTCTAGTTGTGTTCCATGAGTAGAAGTCGAAATTAACAGGCTGCCGACCATAGTGCTCAAACGCGTGCCGTGCGTAATTTCTAACATTTCTCTTTCCGTCATAGAATGCTTCACCAGCAGTATTCTACTGAGTAAGACATAGGATGTGAAGAAGTTAGAATGGACAAATTAGTCTGGTAATCATGAGGAGTTATTCTCTTGCATTGACACACGTATTTACGTGTTTCGGTGTCTAAGAGATTAATTATGAGCTGCTTGTCGTAAGAGGCGTCTAACGGGATCAGGTGGTCAGGCTCGCTGTCTTTGTTGACACATGTCATCGAATCCCAATTGAGTAGATTGATGCTCATGCTGTTGATCACTGGATTGTGTGGTCCAGACTCGATTATTTACAGACCGCGGCCATATAGTTGGAATATTGCTGAGTTTGGCATTAAACAACAACCATCCAACCAATCTAAAATACTAAGACTCACCCTGGTCCGCCCTGTTCATGCTGGTGCATTGTGGTGTTTTACCTCACGACATCCTGAAAATGTAATTCATGCATTCACATCACGGGACACATGTTACATCACTTGATATTACACAAATTAAGTTGGAATCAACAAGTCAACAAGACCTCAATTTCACATGTTGTTGTGGTTATATTCAGCCATATACTGATAAGCATAATTGTAAAATGATTCATTAGAAAATATTGACAATTATATTGATATGCTATACCTCAATTCTTAACAGAGCAGTGGGTAGCCTAGTGGTTGAAACGTATGCTCGACACGCGAAAGACCCGGGTTCGCTTCCCCAAACACATACAATGTATCCCCCGCCGTGATGTTGCTGGAATATTGCTAAAAAAACGGCGTAAAACGAAACCCACACACTCCCCCAATGTTTAATTACTGGTAATGGAAGCAAAATAGTAAACATGTTGCCAAGGATACATGTAACCCCTATACTCCTGAAGGTTTAGAATATGTGTATGTATTTCTAAGATTGTTGATTTGTTGCTTGCATGACATCGTGCCTGTCAGCCTGGATCGATGCTGACATGGAGTGAGTGAGTGAGTTAATATTTAACGTCACATTGGCAATATGCTGACATAGAACGTAAGTGACTATGGCGCTGGAAAACATTCAATCCCGTGTGTTTAAACACAGAACATGTTAAGGATCACCACTTATAATGCATTGTGTCAAAATGTGAGTGAGAGTGAGTCAATATTTAACGTCACATCGGCAATATTTCAAATATCGTGTCAGGAACAATTTGACGTTGATAAAGAATATGTGTATAATATAAAACCTGTCATCAAAGGTTAGAATAAAACTAGCATGTAAAGTAAAAACTAATAGCACGATTTGGACAATACATAATATACAAAACCCTGAAGATTGATAACCATACTAGGGGCCATATGGGGACTTGGCAAACTGTGGAAGTGTGTTTGTTCAAACAGTCAAAGGCGATGTGAATACATGTTTTCTGACACTAAAGAGGGGTTGTTTTCCACTGACACACAGTGATAATATACACATGACACAGACACATCATCCGAAACAGAAACGTGCAAATAACACAAAAGCAATATTTGGAAGAAAAGAATGGAAAAAGCATCTTCAGCTTGTATGTGATCTATGCGATACTATCAGAGTACCCCCAAGAGATTCTGGATGTTGCCAAAGGTAAATTTTCCCTACTCCAATAAGAGCAGTGCCGAGTACTGATAGAGTTGGCACACCACTGTAACTAGTTTCAAATGTTTTTGACAGTGACTATGGTATGTGAGTGAGTGAGTTTAGTTTTACCCCGCTTTTAGCAATATTCCAGCTATATCACGGCGGGGGACACCAGAAATGAGCTTCACACATTGTACCCATGTGAGGAATCGAACCCGGGTCTTCGGCGTGACGAGCGAACGCTTTAACCACTAGGCTACCCCACCGCCCTATGGTATCTGATCCATGAGGACAATGTTCTCGAGTTCTAAGTAAGCTGTCAACAACCCTAACACGATGAGGGAGGGCGTTATCAATGAACATGGCGTATGAGCCAACTGGTCCGCCATCAGTCTCACCGACACATCTCAGAATGGTACACCAAACATTGTGGCTCGCTGTAGGGCATGGAGATCGGTTTTCTAGATCTACTGACCCCCACCCTAAACCAGGAGTGACCCCTCCACAGGGAATCATGAAATCTTTTTGGCACAAGTATTTGCGAAGTCTAGACGGAATCTCGACTCATCAGTGAACAATACTGGAGCCCTTTCCTGGTCTCTCACAACCCAATCAAAACGTGCCTGCCTGCTTAGTGAGATGTGAATACGTGCGCTCGATTGGATTATGGGTGAGTGAGTGAGTTTAGTTTTACGCAGCACTCAGCAATATCCCAGCTATGTGGCGGCGGTCTGTAAATGATCGAGTCTGGACCAGACAATCCAGTGATAAACAGTACGAACATCGATTATGAACCCCATCGACACGATTGTGTGAGCGGAAACGTTAACCCCAGTTTTCCAGGTCATTGGTGAAAAGTGGAAAAGGGGCGTCGTCCTGCTGCAGGACATGACCATACTCATGGTAAACGTCGGCTGTCTTTGGCGTTGAATCTGAGCCAGACAATCCAGTGACAGAGAAAACATTATGATGATTATTACTTGTTTGGCCACATTTGAATGCACCCGTTCTCTCAGATACATAACAATACGGCAAGTTTAGTTTATTCAAGTTTTCTGTAATGTTATCTTTACGCTGGCATAATTGATACGATCATTACAGTAATTGAAGCAATCGTATTTCCCATGAGAGGTAAGGGGAGTTTATCGGTCAGTGTAAGTTTGAACATAAGGGTTATACTTACATTTCTCGTGCAAAGGAAACTACTCTGACACAGCCAAAGCGCAAACACACCGTTCCACGCCGCACCTCATTCCACAACTGAGCTAAGGCAGTTTTACAGGTTCTTTTTCAATGCAAAGTTGTGTAAGCTCTGTGCTGACTATCGTCAACAACAATAGAAGACCATAACTGCATTCATAAATGTTTATACTGAACCTTTTGAATAGGTTCTTGAGCTGTTTCTATGTGTTGCTCTCGCAGTTTTATGTGCACCTGCTATCCTGCATGCAGTTGGCTGTGACAACACTGTAGCAGAATTCCAACTGTCTAAAGTATACCTCTTTATGTATCACACGCTGTACGTTTTCTCTCCAGTAAGTCCCAAATTTATGATTACACTTAAGTGAATATCATCCACTCACTAAATGAAAAAGAAACACCGTTTTGTTCAGTTCTTGTATATGTACCGAAGGCTTGATAGGGAATTTTATTGAATTAAGGGGATTACCTGAAATCTGTGAAAGCTTGTACAGGTATTGTTCCACACTCACATCACCATGGAAGGTTTTCATTGACACATTATACATAAGGCTGTGTATTACGTATACTGGGAGGGCAGAACATGGTTACAGATTCTGTGAGCGCACAGTGGCATCACTATACTAATTATTACTTGGATGCTGAGTTGGTTGATGTGTGTTATTGCAGCATAATTTCGTAGATAGATTTTAGGGATGGCGATAACTGACATGTTTAGTCCAGACTAGATTATTTACAGACATATATCATATACATAGATTAAATAAAAAATCCTTTTAGTTTAATCATATGTTTTGTTATCTGTTTCGAAAGCTATTTGAGACAAAAATATCTACAGTTTCTTATTTCCCAAATGTTTTTTTTGGTCTTGAGAGATAGATTTTCACGCATTCCTGAAGTCAATATTGTAACCAAAATTGTAAGTCCCAAACACATATAAAATGTTTCCTTTTTGCCATGCGAGCGTGTTACAATATTATTAATACAATATCACCTGCAGACGTTGCATATTTAAGCTATTGGAAACATAAATATGTGCAGTTTCTCATTTCTCAAATGTTTCCACTCGTTTCTAACGTGAAAGTCGAGGATGCAAAACAATGTTTCTCTATGAGCATTAGAGCGTATTAGAATACAATATCGCCAGCAAACATTACATATAAAAGAAACACTTTCTGTATTTTGTAACAAGATATGTTGTAATGAGATGAACACGCGGCAATGTGATATAATGTCACATCAAACAAGTAGTATATGTCTGTACAAGTCTGTACAGTCAGACGAAGTAGATATTAATGATAATAACTATCATGTTGATTAAAGAATACATGTAATAAGGACTCGTCGGAGGTCAAAATGTGATCAAAATTTCATGTTTTGCTGTAGCCGTATAGAAAAAGTAAAAATATATAAATTCATATAGTACCTTTTCCAGAGGTATCACTAGACAGATATACGACGGAGTAGAAAAGTGTGTGTGTGTGTGTGTGTGTGTGTGTGTCAAATTTAAATTCCTAAGACAATAGCCGCTTTTGGGGAGTGTCTGATATCTACATGATCCTTCAGTCCCAGATCTAAGCGTCATTTTGAAGTTATAAAATATAAACCTGGCTGTGAATATGCCTGACTTCTGTATGCTATACACCTGTTTTGTTCAATGTTGTGAATGCAATGAATCATGTCGACAATATCTTTGACGATTATGATAAAGAAGCTTTTCATGTCTCCAGGGTGTGTTGTGTCGAGGTGACCTGCTCGAAATGCATTCGGTAAGACATGTTGGAAGGCTCACAAGAATAAGTGTTGGATCGTTTGAATGAAAGCACAACTAAGATCTTTCCGGTGAAATATCTCCTATCCTTACGTACGAGTTATAAGCAGCTTGTTTGGTACTCACTGAATATGCCAGAGACAGCTGTGAGGGGTTCGAATTTAATGTTGAGACAAATATATTAGTTCACCGCGAATCAGACCATGAAAGGACTTGGTGTGATCCCAACAAAAACAGAGCCATGTGATTTGATTCACAGTTCACAAATCACTACAAATCACTACAAAGCTTTTAAGGTATTACAGTGACAGTACAAATTCAAAGGCAGTATAATAAAGCACTCGACAACTTTCAGTTCTCTGATGGCGATCTGGAGCTCTGAGGTTTCTAGGTACTCATTTTACAGATACCTTGGACATACCAAGATAAATAATGGTTTCAACAGTTCCAATTGATATTTGGAATTCCTTTGATAGTTCAGATCCTTTTATTCGTCGGCAGACAAAATTCTTCTTTCTATAGCGGCTAGAGGTATGTGTCCGGCTGGGTGGCATCTGAAGGCCTGCCTGACCTTGGGTCATCGTCTATAGACTCCCGCCCCCTTTAAAACTGTAGAGACCAACAGCAAACTGTGGAATAGTCAGGAGCATCCTTGCACATGCGGTCATGGAATTCTTTTGCTTTGTATCCCTCCTTGGTCAGAAACTTTATTACAGCGCGTTGTTCATGTTTGAAATAATCCATGATCGTGACCACCCTTAGGTGAATGAAGCAATCGCATCTAACTTATTGTGTCTTGAACTTGTCCTGACACGAGTCAACCTGATGTTATGACACGTGTCAGCCTGATGTTATGACACGTGTTAACCTGATGTTGTGACACGTGTCAACCTGATGTTATGACACGTGTCAACCTGATGTTATGACACGTGTTAACCTGATGTTGTGACACGAGTCAACCTGATGTTATGACACGTGTCAGCCTGATGTTATGACACGTGTTAACCTGATGTTATGACACGTGTCAGCCTGATGTTATGACACGTGTCAACCTGATGTTATGACACGTGTTAACCTGATGTTGTGACACGTGTCAACCTGATGTTGTGACTAGTGTCACACATGCCACAAGTTGACATTGTTTGTGTAAACAAATACCCAAGTTGCAAAACTTATTTAACGCCCCTAGTATGTTGTCCACTGTTAACAGTTACACCTGGTAAAACGTCTATGTTCCGCCAGCAATTGTGGCAATTAGGTTGAAACCCTCTGCGCTTGCACCAGGTTTATGACACACCCAGGGTGAAATTTATGTTAACGTCGTGGCATTTTAGCTGGGAATGACAAGCTTTATGGATAACAACGTGGTTTACTTCATGTTATAATTCATCTTGACATTACATCACTTGTATAACGACAAGTAACTCCGGACAGGCAATCTATTAACGAAGGTGATCCTGTAAAATGGAAACCGAAACATATAAAATTCTTGAAATAACGAATTGAATTTCGTTCTCGATTAGTAAGTAAAACAATCATGACAACACATGTTCATAATACCAGAGGACGTTTCGTTTGAACATTCGATGTCATCACTGTTTAGCTTCAAATTCACAGATATTTCGTTTTTTATGTCCAGTGGAGTCTGCTCCAACGGGATAATTATGAAAGGTAATTACTTCTCTTGTGTCAGTTTTTTTTAAGATATCACTGTCAAATCTATATTATCATGTTCAAGTAGTACCAATGCCGCCAGTTTATGCGCACCGATAGAGCACGACATGTTGGACCTATTTGTCCACTTGGTGTCGTCACTGACTTTCAGAGATCCATTCTGCCATTTACATCCAGTGAAAACTGCTTCCCCAGATAATCGAGACTGATACGTTCAAGGTGTTGTATTTCTATGATTAATTAAACCCACAGTGTATATAAATGAGCTCATGGAACAGTTCAGTAGAACTAGCAGCAATGGTAGCAGCTGTGAGTACTAGATTATCCACCTGTGAAGGTGCTTGTAGTAAGAGGCGATTGACAGGATCGGGTGGTCAGGCTTGCTGACTTGATTAATTTTGTTATTGCGTAGATCGATGCTCATGCTGTTGATCACCGGATTGTCTGGCTCAGACTCTTATTTACAGACCACCGCCTTGTAGCTGTTTTATGGCGGAAAGCGAGAACCAAACCATCCAACCAAAACTTCCGCATGTCTCGAATACTTTCTGTGAATATCAGAAAGCCCTACCTTGATAGCATTAAGGATTATGGTGTAAGAATTATCTGAATATGGCTGTTAGTGGCAAAGGGCGTGATTCCCTTTGAACATACCAAATTGGCACTTTTACTGGTGAGATGCAACAAGCATCATGCATCGATGTGCCAAAATACCTGGTGTGTCCATCCTGTCCGTCTTGAGATCGATGGATGAACTGATGGTGGCGACATTTGCTGAGTGTGGCAAACAAACAAGCAAAAACTAGATTATCACAAAATTCAGGAAATCTAAACCTATAACACCGGTTTAGCTTTCTCACTACAATAAAATAATGAGACAGTTGATCTATGAGATCTTGAGAGAGTGGGTTGGGGATTTTTTGGGCTTGATAGTTGAAAACTGCGTTCGATTGCATGGTCGTATTGACTGGATATATGATTCAAGAATGTTTTGGTCATGAAAATGTTCATCGAAAGATTAAACATTGAAACCGGATCAATGTAGAAGTCATTCAGTGTTTGTATGGTATCGAGGGTTTATTATGTAGATTACAAAGAGCAGCGAAATGTTTTCCCCAAGGCGTCTACAGCTAAAGCCATGAATACATGCCACATGGACGACACACCATACACGCTACCTGGACACATGGATAATGAGAAAATACTATTATGAATGAGGGTTTTATCCATTGAATCAGTGTTACTTTGATTTACTTAGTCGCATTGATATTACATTTTGTTAAATTATGAAGTTAATGATTAATTAATCGTGTATCAACACGGTATAACGATCTCAAAAGAAGACAGCGTAGCTAAAAACGACCATTTAGGTTACAACATTCAAGGCCTCAGTAAACGTTTTATGGTAGGCGTGTGCAGACTTTTTGACGTATCGGTGACAAACCCCATGTCTGATGCAATTCCCTATTTTGACTTCTACCGTACGTCCTGTTGTTTTTTCTTGTGTCCCCCGCCGTGATATTGCTGGAAAATTGCTAAAAGCGGCGTAAAATCATGCTCACTCACTCCTGTTGTTCTAGGTTACCAACTGACTAGCATTTTTATTTG